CTCAACCGATACCAAAAGATTGAGATTATTCCCTGCATATTCTCAGACCACAGTGCTCTAAAACTGGAACTCAATCACAAGAAAAAATTTGGCAGAAATTCAAACACTTGAAAGCTAAAGACCACTCTGCTCAGGAATGTTTGGGTCAACCAGGAAATCAAAGAAGAACTTAAACAATTCATGGAAATCAATGAGAACGAAAACACATTGGTCCAAAACCTATGGGATACTGCAAAGGCGGTCCTAAGGGGGAAATACATAGCCATCCAAGCCTCACTCAAAAAAACAGAAAAATCCTGAATTCACCAACTAACTCTACACCTTAAAGAACTAGAGAAAAAGCAAGAAATGACGCCTAAGCCACGCATTAGAAAAGAAATAATTAAATTAGAGCCAAAATCAATGAATTAGAAACCAGAAACACAGTAGATCAGATCAACGAAACTAGAAGTTGGTTCTTTGAAAGAATTAATAAGATCGATAAACCACTGGCCAGACTTATCCAGAAGAAAAGAGAAAGGACCCAAATTTTTAAATAAAATTATGAATGAAAGGGGAGAGATCACGACTAACACCAAGGAAATAGAAACAATTATTAGAAATTATTATCAACAACTATATGCCAATAAACTGAGCAATCTGGATGAAATGGAGGCCTTCCTGGAAACCTATAAGCTGCCAAGACTGAAACAGGAAGAAATTGACAACCTGAATAGGCCAATAGCCAGTAACGAGATTGAAGCAGTGCTCAAAAACCTCCCAAAAAACAAGAGTCCAGGGCCTGGTGGATTCCCTGGGGAATCCTACCAAACATTCAAAGAAGAAATAATACCTATTCTCCTGAAGCTGTTTCAAAAAATAGAAACAGAAGGAAAGCTTCCAAACTCATTCTATGAGGCCAGCATTACCTTAATCCCCAAACCAGGCACAGACCCCATCAAAAAGGAGAATTTCAGACCGATATCCCTGATGAATATGGATTCCAAAATCCTCAACAAAATCCTAGCTAATAGGATCCAACAATACATTAAAAAGATCATCCACCACGACCAAGTGGGATTTATCCCTGGGATGCAAGGGTGGTTCAACATTCGCAAATCAATCAGTGTGATAGAACACATTAATAAGAGGAGGGAGAAGAACCATACGGTCCGCTCAATTGATGCAGAAGAAACATTTGACAAAATACAACATCCTTTCCTGATTAAAACTCTTCAGAATATAGGATTAGAGGGAACATTCCTCAAGTTCATAAAATCCATCTATGAAAAACCCACAGCGAATATCATCCTCAATGGAGAAAAGCTGAGAGCCTTTCCCTTAAGATCAGGAACACGTAAGGATGCCCACTCTCGCCACTATTGTTCAGCATAGTATTAGAAGTCCTAGCAACAGCAATCAGACAACAAAAAGAAATAAAAAGTATTCAAATCGGGAAAGAAGAAGTCAAACTCTCTCTTTTCGCAGACGACATAATACTTTATGTGGAAAACCCAAAAGACTCCACCCCCAAATTACTAGAACTCATCCAGCAATTCAGTAATGTGGCAGGATACAAAATCAATACACAGAAATCAGTTGCTTTCTTATACACTAACAATGCAACTGTAGAAAGAGAAATTAGAGAAACGATTCCATTTACAATAGCACCAAAAACCGTAAGATACCTCGGAATAAACCTAACCAAAGAGGTAAAGGATCTATACTTTAGGAACTACAGAACACTCATGAAAGAAATTGAAGAAGACACAAAAAGATGGAAAAATATTCCATGCTCATGGATCGGAAGAATAAACATTGTTAAAATGTCTATGCTACCCAGAGCAATCTATACCTTCAGTGCCATCCCGATCAAAATTCCAATGACATTTTTCAAAGTGCTGGAACAAACAATCCTAAAATTTGTATGGAATCAGAAGAGACCCCCGAATCGCCAAGGAAATGTTGAAAAAGAAAAACAAAGCTGGGGGCATCACGTTGCCCGATTTCAAGCTATATTACAAAGCTGTGATCACCAAGACAGCATGGTACTGGCACAGAAACAGACATATAGAGCAATGGAACAAAATAGAGAACCCAGATATGGACCCTCAACTCTATGGTCAAATAATCTTTGACAAAGCAGGAAAAAACATGCAATGGAAAAAAGACAGTCTCTTTAATAAATGGTGCTGGGAAAATTGGACAGCCATATGCAGAAGAATGAAACTCAACCATTCTCTAACACCATTCACAAAGATAAACTCAAAGTGGTTGAAAGACCTCAATGTGAGACAGGAATCCATCAAAATCCTAGAGGAGCACATAGGCAGTAACCTCTTTGACATCGCCCACAGCAACTTCTTTCAAGATACATCTCCAAAAGCTAGTGAAACAAAAGCAGAAATGAACTTTTGGGATTTCATCAAGATAAAAAGCTTCTGCACAGCAAAGGAAAGAGTCAACAAAACAAAGAGGCAACCCACAGAATGGGAGAAGATATTTGCAAATGACACTACAGATAAAGGGCTGGTATCCAAGATCTATAAAGAACTTCTCAAACTCAACACCCAAAAAACAAGTAAGTCAAAAAGTGGGCAGAAGAGATGAAAGACACTTCTCTGAAGAAGACATACAAATGGCTAACAGACACATGAAAAAATGTTCATCATCATTAACCATCAGGGAAATTCAAATCAAAACCACATTGAGATACCACCTTACACCAGTTAGAATGGCAAAAATGTACAGGGAAAGAAACAACAGATGCTGGAGAGGTTGTGGAGAAAGGGGAACCCTCTTACACTGTTGGTGGGAATGCAAGTTGGTACAGCCACTTTGGAAAACAGTGTGGAGGTGCCTCAAAAATTTAAAAATAGAGCTACCCTATGACCCAGCAATTGCACTTCGGGGTATTTACCCCAAAGACACAGATGTAGTGAAAAGAAGGGCCATATGCACCCCAAGGTTCATAGCAGCAATGTCTGCAGTAGCCAAACTGTGGAAAGAGCTGAGATGCCCTTCAATAGATGAATGGATAAAGAAGATGTGGTCCATATATACAATGGAATATTACTCAGCCCTCAGAAAGGATGAATACCCAACTTTTACATCAACATGGATGGGACTGGAGGAGATTATGCTAAGTGAAATAAGTCAAGAAGAGAAAGTCAATTATCGTATGTTTTCACTTATTTGTGGAACATAAGGAATAGCATGGAGGACATTAGGAGAAGGAAGGGAAAAATGGGGGTGGGATTTGGAGGGAGAGATGAACGATGAGAGACTATGGACTCTGAGAAACAAACAGGGTTTTAGAGGGGAGGGGGGAGCGGGGATTGGTTAGCCCAGTGATGGGTATTAAGGAGGGCACGTACTGCATGGAGCACTGGGTGTTATACGAAAACAATGGATCGTGGATCACCACATCAAAAACCAATGATGTATGGTGACTAACATAATAAAATTAAAACAACAAAAAAAAATTTAGAGTTAAACATTAATAAAGGTAAAAAAGCCAATAATTCCTTCTACTTTAATTCTTAAAATAATCCTCAGAGGTTAGATTCTTAGTCTAAAATCAATAAGGAATTAAATGGAATGGAGAAAGGCATAATATTTAATAATTAAGTTTAAAAAATTAACCAAAGTATATAGGTTTGCAGAGATATCACTTGACCAAAGCATATGTAAGGAAAATACAGAGATTTTAGTTAACCACAAACTGTCTTAATGAACAGTATGATATATCTGCTGTAATGACAAACATTCATAGACTACATTTAAAAAGTATAGTTTTTAAGTTACAGGAAATAATCCTTTTATATTCCATCCTTACAAATATCTGTAATATTGTGTTCCATCTAGCCACTACATTTGATGAGGAGTACTGGCAAATTGGAGGATGATATGGTATCCAGAAGATATGGTATTCCATATCCGAAATAATGAACATGTCTTCCAAAGGGAAAAATCTTTTTTTGCCTCATTCTTTGCCTTAGTCAGTTTGGCCTGCTGTAACAGAATACCGTAGAGTGGGTGACTTAAACAATAGCCTTTTATTTCTGACATTTCTGGATGCTGGGAATTCTGAGATAGGGTACTATCATGGTTTTGTTTTGCTGAGATCCCTCTTTCTGGCTTGTAGATCGTGATCTTCTTGCTTGTCCTTTCATAGAGGGGAGAGAGAACGTCTCTCCCCGTCTTTACTTGCAAGGATACCAATCCCATTTGAGAGGACTCCACCTTTTTGACTTAATTACCTTCCTAAGATTCCATCTCCAAATACCATCATATTGGGGATTAGGACTTCCATATACAGATTTTCAGGGCACAGAGACATTTAGTTCACTGCATTCCCCATTGTAGTCCCTCTTTTAGGCTAGTGCTTGGCATGTGATAAGTAATTGATAGAAAGTAAAAGGAGAGAGAACAAACATTTATTTCACTTACTTAATTCATGAACTTTAGTTTTTTTTTTTTTTTTACCAATAATATATTAGTTTTTCCTATAGTTTTATTCTGTGAAATTGTCTTTAGAAATGATGGTATCATGGTGCTCATTAGCATCCTTGCTCTCCTGTAGATAATGTTTGGACTCATTTTTACTGGATATTATAAGTAGACTAGTAAAATACAGGATAATATGTAGAAAAAGAAATTAAACATGGGCCTGACACAGGATAATATGTAGAAAAAGAAATTAAACATGGGGCCCAACACGGCCTGAACTCATGACCCTGAGATCAAGACCTGAGCTAAGGTCAAGAGCTGGACACCCAACCAACTGAGCCACCCAGGCGCCCCGAACTGTACTTTTTTTCCTTAGAAATTTGGCATCTTTTATAGAAAAAGGGGTTATAACTTGTGTGTGTGTGTTAATTCCTTTACCTTTGTGCTTAGAGATAAATCTGTAAGTTTTTTTTCTAGAAATAAGTAATCTTTTACATTTGGTATATGTATATGTTTATGGTAATGAAGACTTAAAAATTAAAAGATTTAATTTTAAGGTGTACTTTTAGGTGGATGATGAAGATTTACAGGATGAACCTCTGCAGATCACAGTTCTTGACCATGACACTTACAGTGCAAATGATGCCATTGGTAAAGTGTACATTGATATTGATCCTTTACTCTACAGTGAGGCTGCAACAGTCATCTCAGGATGGTTTCCAATTTATGATACTATACATGGTAAGGAGTATATAATTTGAAGTAATCCCTGTTAAATTTGTACAATATAGTAAGTAAATGCATTATTTAAAAATAATCTTACAAATACAGTGGAGTTTTCTAGAGGTTTTATGATATATAATATTACCACACATTGAATGCAGAACAGAAATAGAATCTAACTGTATTCCATGAAGCTAAACATTATAGAGAACTACAAAAATGTAAGTGCTATTCTTATTACTATTTTTTTTGTTTTTCAGAATATAGTTATTTTTATAAAAATGTTTATAGTAATAAATATTTTTTAAAATTCTCAGCTTTAATTTTAATTTAAATTTTAAATTTTTAAATTTTTAAAAAGATTTTATTATAGAGAGAGGAAGAGAGAGGGAGAGAGAGTGAGCAGCGGGGAGGGGCAGAGGGAGAGGGAGAAACGGACTCCCCACTGAGCGGGGAGTCTGATCCGAGGACCCTGGTATCATGACCTGAGCTGAAGTCAGAGGCCCAACCGACTGAGCCACCCAGGTGTCCCTCTCAATTTTAATTTTAATTATAACATGGTAAATATTGATATATGATGCATATAAACAGAAACTCCTTGAAGTTCTCAATAATTTTTAAGATTGTAAAAGTGGTTATGTCATCAGAAAGTTTGAGAACTGCCAGCCTGAAAATATGCCATCTTTTTAGAATGGCAAATGGACCCATAAGGAACTGGCAAATGTTTCTCTCTATAGTCTAGCATCTTTCTGCCTATTTTCCATTTTTGACCTGGCAATCCTGTTGCTAGTTGTTTATTATAAGAATAATAAACTGAGATTTATGCAAAAGTGTATTTATTGTGACACATTCTATTATTATTTATTAATATTTACAATGGTAAAATAAATTGGAAAAGAAGATTTACTTAAATAAATTAGAGCATATATAGACCATGAATTATGCAGCCAGAACAAAATGCATGTTTTTAGAGTAGAGTGGCATAAGGAAATGTGTATGATTTGTAAAATTGTAAAATTTTGTAAAATTCAGATTATAAAACATTATTATAGGATGATTACATATTTGTTTAGAAAGAAAAGAATTGCATATATGTGATATCATATGATAAATTGGCAGAATACATGATAAAATGTTTATTCTTTTTTTTAAAAAAAGATTTATTTATTTATTTTAGAGAGAGAGAGTGTGAGGAGGGGCAGAGGGAGAGAATCTCAAGCAGACTCCCTGCTGAGCACAGAGCCCTACGGGGCTGGATCTCAGGACCCTGAGATCATGACTTGACCTGAAACCAAGAGTTGGACGCTTAACCACCCAGGCACCCCGATAAAATATTTATTCTTGGATAGTTTTATTTCTGGACTTTAATCCTATTTTTCCTCTTTTGCTTTTTTCTGTATTTTCTACAACAAAAGTATATTATCTTTGTAGTCAGGAAATAAAATCCAGTCCCATAGTATATTACCAATAAAATGTGCCACTGGAGAAATAATCTGGACTTAGATTAAAGGCAATAGCAGTAGGCAGGAATGAATTTTCCAAATATTTTATATTAAATACTGTTTATAGTTGGTTTAATATGTTTATGGACCCTTTGTTAGGACATAATCTTATTATTTCAATGGGTAAATGAGCAAGTCACTCTTCTTAGAAGGCCTTCTGTAACTCTGAATTTGATTGACATGCAATCAGGACAGTCCAGTAAAAATATTTGGTAAATGTTAGAGATAGAGACTGGGTCATTTTTATTTATTAGGACATGTTCTGAGAAACCCTAATTTTTGGAATTTCTTAGCTCATTTTAACTTAATATATTCATTGAAAAGAATAAAACTTTTGTGTGGGCGCCTGGGTGGCTTAGTCGTTAAGCGTCTGTCTCAGCTCAGATCATGATCCTAGGGTCCTGGGACCCCGCATCAGGCTCCCTGCTCAGCGGGAAGCCTGCTTCTCCCTCTCTTGTGTTCCCTCTCTGGCTGTGTCTTTCTCTCTGTCAAATGAATAAATAAAATCTTTAAAAAAAGAAAAAGAATAAAACTTTTGTGTTAAATCAGATTCTTGGCATTTGTTGACCATTTAAGATCTGACTTCTAATCCTGGCTGTACTACTTAACTAGTTATTGACACTATGCAAATTATTTAACTTTCATTAAACTTTAATGTTTTCCTCTGTAACATGAGGATGATAATACTACAGAAATTACCTTACTGGGTTGGTGTGAGAGCTATGAGATACTACACGTAAGGCATTTAGAACATTATCTGTGCTCAGATGTTACCGTCATCATCATTGTTGTCATCAATTCAAATGTGGCTCCTTTGCAGTTAGTTTTGATTCAAATAAGTAGACTTATTCATTCTCTAATATATATGTATACTTCAGAAAATGTAATAAACTACTTAGAGTAAAAATAATTAGGAAACAAAGTTAGCACTGCTATTATGATTGATACGATATTTTAAAATCATCAGTTGGCATTCATTTGCTGGATTATTTAATTGTGCTTTATTTTGTTAAGGGTAAAAACTTGATTTTCCGTTTGAAATTTTAGGTATCCGTGGGGAAATCAATGTAGTTGTCAAAGTAGACCTCTTCAATGATTTAAATCGATTTAGGCAGTCATCATGTGGAGTCAAATTCTTTTGCAGTAAGTAAATGCATTTTATTTCTCATTTAACAGGAAATTTAATCGTTAAATATAGGGAATCAAATTAATATTTCAGAAAGCTAATGGAAAATCTATCATACTTTGGTTTTAATGCCAAAGAGAAAATTGTCAATTTTTCAGAAACAATTACCGTAGCTCTGGGGACTATTTATCTGATTTTAAAGTAAATGAAATCTAATTTTTTACAAGTTCTTAGAAATTTTTGTTAGAATAGTCCATTGGGGCGTGAGGTATACATGGTTATCATGACCCTACTCTGCCTTGCACTCTCGCCCCTACTGCAGACTCTGGAAGGAATCACATTAAACATTGCTGGTAACTTATTTGCTTATTGCTGGTAGAAAGAGTGACTGGTGAAGATTTTGGATTTTTTCCCAAATTTTAAAGAAGAATCCATGTATTAATGAAACAACTTAATCTTGTTTACTTAAATCTTATGTTAGTAATATTGGGCCCAAAGGTGGAGAATTGATTGTAAAAGCACTACATAACAATACAACTCTGAAATACCTGAGAATGACTGGAAACAAGTTTGAAAATGAAGGTGGAATGTGTTTTGCAGGAATGCTACAAATTAATTCATCCTTAGAGAAATGAGATCGGAATGACTGTGGTCTAGAAATGCAAAATGTGATAGCATTTGCTACAGTCCTAACTGAAAACCAAACAACTAAGGGAATATACCCAAACCTACCTATGCTGTATGGTGAATAGGAGGCGTCCACAGTTCATCTAGGCCACATGCTGAAAGAAAATCACTGTCTTGTTGCATTGCTCATGTGTAAGCATGATATTATAAAACAGTTAGGTGATGCACCGTATCTGAACAGTAGCCTATGCTAACTTGATGTCAGCTGGTTGTCAGTAGTCAGCAACAACATAGGGGGAGATGGGCTTGTACTTTCGTAATCAATGAAAACAAATCCCACTCTCTCTAATATCTACATTTGGGAAAACAAATTCGATGACTACATGTATGATATAATCAGACTTAATTCAAATTCAAATCAGACAAATTCAGATTCAAATTCAAATGGACCATCTAAAATTAGGTAATACAGATACGGAGCTATTTGTGGTGGGTGGACATGTGTATTTTGCAGAAGTCTCCAGTGGCCTTAAAAAGCATTATTATCAGACATCAACTTACAGAAAACCTTGCAGCACTCATCTAATGCAGGTTTTACTCTTTTTTTTTTTTTTAAGATTTTATTTATTTATTTGACAGAGAGAGACACTGCAAGAGAGGGAACACAAGCAGGGGGAGTGGGAGAGGGAGGAGCAGGCTTCCCGCCAAGCAGGGAGCCCAATGCGACGCTTGATCCCAGGACCCTGAGATCATGACCTGAGCCGAATGCAGATGCTCAACGACTGAGCCACTCAGGCGCCCTTCTTTTTTTTTTTTTTTTTTAAAGATTTATTTATTTATTTGAGAGAGAGAGGGAGAACATGCACATGGGGGGAGGGGCAGAGGGAGAGAATCTTCAAGCAGACTCCCCACTAAGCAAGGAGCCTGATGTGGGGCTTGGTCCCAGCACCCTTGAGGTCATGACCTGAGCAGAAACCAAGAGTTGGACCCTTAACTGAAGGGACCATCCAGGTACCCTGCAGGTTTTCCTCTTCTACCGGTAGGTCAATCTCCGTGAAAAACAAGCTCTAAAATAATTTTCACATATTTACCTTATTTCACAGCAATGAATATTTTATTGCCTATTAAATTTTTCTTCTATAAATTAGAACAAGTTGCCTTGTGAATATGTGAAAGATAAGACTATATTGAACTTTGTATAACTGTCAAAAAAGAAAAATCCACTGATATTTTATTTTTTTACCTTTATTTATTTTTAAAGATTTTATTTTTAAGTAATCTCTAATCTAACATGGGGCTCGAACCCACATTCCTGAGATCCAAGAGTCGTATGCTCCACTGACTGAGCCAGTCAGACTCTCCTTCAGTGGTAATTTAGTAGAAGATGTTGTTAAGATAGGAGCAGAGCACTATAGCCAAACCCTGTGATGCTATCCAAACTTAAATAGGTATCTACAGGTACAGTCCCTCAAGTGCCATGAAATATGGGCTGGCATTGGGCAGATGTAGGCAATCATAGCCAGCCTGGATTAATAGGGTTGAAAACTCCTAAGTAGTTGAGTTAGCTTTAAGGCATGGATGTCTTAGAGACTAATTTGGTGTGGATGTTCTTAGATTCTCCCTTTTTTTTTTTTTTTTTGTTTTGTTTTTTTGTTGTTTTGTTTGTTTTTCTATAGGTTATCCCCTTTTTGAATCCGACTAGATCTTATTTTATTTTTTTTAAGATTTTATTTATTTAATTGACAGAGAGAGACAGCGAGAGAGGTAACACAAGCAGGGGGAGTGGAAGAGGGAGAAGCAGGCTTCCCGCCGAGCAGGGAGCCCGACATGGGGCTCGATCCCAGGACCCTGAGATCATGACCTGAGCTGAAGGCAGTCGCCTAACCAACTGAGCCAACCAGGCACCCCCAACTAGATCTTATTTTAAATCTAATGACATTTGGTGTTATTTATATTAAATGAGTTTGTTAAATAGTATAGTGACTACTGAACCAGTTGGCCATATGGCCATGGGTTATTGGAAATTGCAGGGCTATATGACTCCTCAGATTATGTCAGAAAGGTAATGGTTTGATTTTTAAGACTGCACTATATGTTGTACAAAAGAACTTTTTCAAAGGGCTTTGAATAAAGTTTTTTGTATTTATTACCCACTTTGTACCTATTTTTATAATGATTACCTAGCTGACATTGATTCTGATTTTTTTTAAACTTTGTATTGAATGCTATTTAAGATTGTCTGTGGCTGTTTTCCAAATTATAAAAATACAATTTCTATCTACTATGTTTATTATGAGAAAAACGAGGTCTCATTAAAGAAAATGATTATTTCTAAGAATAATATGGAATTTAGAAGACTGATTGGAAGTATGACTATTATAATTACATTGAAATTAGCACAGTAAAAAGTCTTCTTGTATTATGTATCCAAAAGGTAAGAACTTAATTGTACATTTTTTAAAAATTGAATTTAACCTTGTGATAAATAAAAGCATAATAGACAATTTCTTTTAACAGCAACATCTATTCCAAAGTGCTATAGAGCTGTAATAATTCATGGTTTTGTAGAAGAGCTTGTGGTCAATGAAGACCCAGAATATCAGTGGATTGATCGAATTCGTACACCAAGGGCATCAAATGAGGCCAGACAGAGACTCATTTCTTTAATGTCAGGTATTTAAAAAAAATAACTTCATTACTGATTTACTTAACACTGTTACATTTTTCACTTCCTTTTGACATGCTACCTGAAATTTTACAGTGAAGGCTATGAATTATATATGATTGATTCTCTACCCTGGCCCCATCTTCCTGAACATACACACGTTGCCATCTTATAAGAGGAAATCTGAACCAGAAGCTTATACTTCCTTCTTAACTAGGTAGTAGAAAGAATTTGTGCTCATGAAGTGGCATAGTGGAAAGAACCCTGAGCAAGGAAGTAGGAAACTGGGTTCTAGTTTTCCTTCCTCTAGCATTTATTTGTAGTCAGAGCTTAGGTAATCTCTCTATTGTTTTTTGTTGCCTTTTCTTTTTTCTTTTCTTTTTTTATTTTTTTTAATAAAGATTTTTATTTATTTATTGAGAAAGATAGTGATAGAGAGCATGAGAGGGGGAGAGACAGAGGGAGAAGCAGACTCCCTGCTGAGCAGGGAGCCCGATGCGGGACTCGATCCCGGGACTCCAGGATCATGACCTGAGCCAAAGGCAGTCGCTTAACCAACTGAGCCACCCAGGCGTCCCTCTTTTTTTTTTTTTTTAAGATTTTTTTTTATTTATTGGACAGAGACATAGCAAGAGAGGGAACAAAAGCAGGGGGGAGTGGGAGAGGGAGAAGCAGGCTTCCCGCTGAGCAGGGAGCCCGATGTGGGGCTCGATCCGAGGACCCTGGGACCATGACCTGACCTGAAAGCAGACGCTTAACGACTGAGCCACGTAGGTGCCCCTTTTGTTGCCTTTTCATAGTCCTTCTCTGACAACTTGTTTTAGCTCCCTGTACTTCTCCCTGCCATTCTTACCCCATTACTTTTCTTTATTTTTCTTTGAAGAACTTGTTTATCATTTTAAATTTTATATGTATATATGTGTGTGCATATATATGTATATATACTCACATATGTATATCAGACAATAAATAAGTATAAATGTTATATTTAATAAATATAAATATGTTATACTTATGTATAATAAATTTATGCTTTTAACTATAAAATATAAATACATTTATATTAATATATCAATTACATTTTAATATTTATAAATCAGTATAAATATATTTATACTTAATATAATATAAAATGTTATATTTAATATATTAAATAATATATCTTTTTTGTTCACCTCTGTATTTCTAGCACTTAGAAGAAAGGAAGAATGCCAGGCACATAGTAAACAACCAAAAATTATTTGGTAAATGAATGCATGAATGAGTGAATCTTAATTTGCCACATCTGTAAAATGCAACTAGTAATGTCTTACCTCCCTGAAATTAGGAGACTGGAGCAGATAATCTTTTAGGTTCTTTTCAAGTTTTAAAAATCTGTGATTTTTTGACTTTTTTTTTATTGCTACTATATCCAACTTTATATTATGTAATGTGAAGACCTGAAGCAGAATGAGTTTTCTTCCTTTTTTTTGTAGGTGAACTGCAGAGGAAGATTGGCTTGAAAGTGCTTGAAATGAGAGGAAATGCAGTTGTTGGGTACTTACAGTGTTTTGATCTGGAAGGCGAATCTGGGTTAGTGGTACGAGCCATAGGAACAGCATGTACACTGGATAAACTAAGTAGCCCAGCAGCATTCCTTCCTGCATGTAATTCCCCATCCAAAGAAATGAAGGAGTAAGTATGAATCAATGAATCGTTCTTATGGAGCTTTTTATCTTTTACCTATATGTTTTCATTTGATTTGAAATATTCTAGTGGATTTGTTTAACATACATTTTTTGCTATGGTGATTTTTTTTTTCTTATGGTAATTTTTACTATCAGAGATGACTGAAAATCTGAAGCTTTAATCTATTTAGCGATTCCTAATATTTATACTGTCTTAATATGAAATTCAAGTTAGTAATGTAAACTAAACTTATTTCAGATCTTTAGGCACTATATATTTAAAGCGTAAAATGGGTATTTATGGAATTTTTACTTATTCTTTGGGGAATGCTTAAAACCCATTATTATACCTGATAATCCAATTATGCTTATTATTAGCAACATAGTATAGAAAGGAAAAGTATAGCAGGAAAGGTTGACCTGTGCTGGGGTCTCATGCAAACGTCTACAGAGGCCAGACCATTTATATAAATAAAATAATTCAGTATAATTAAATAGGGAGTATTGAGGACTGTGTAAAGCAAATGTTGGCAAACTTTTTCTGTAAAAGGCTGGATAGTAAATATTCCATGCTCTAGCCATATAGTTTCTATCTTTGTTTACCAGAAAAAGGAGTTTGCTGATCCTGATCTAAAGGAATTTAGGCTCATACATTTTTTAAAAAACTGAGTGTGATTCAACAAAACACTTTGGTTGACTGGATTTGGCTTTTGTATTATCATTTTTGTCTAAGGCAGAAGATTCTCAACGTGGTGGGGTGGTGCTGTCTATAAGGAAGGTTTAAAATGAAAATTTTCTGTCATAATGATTGGGGTGAGGAAGATACTGGTTGGGGACTATAAATGCTGATTGTTGTATACAGCAAAGGACAACTCTGTACAATGAAGACTTGTTCCAGCGTAAGTGTCAGTAGTACTTCCATTGAGACCCACTGATTTAGAGATTCTTTTAGATCAAGGGTCAACAAATTTTTTTGTAAATGACCAGAAGATACAGGTAAATAATAATTTAGTCTTTGCTAATAACTACTCAGTTTTGCCATTGTAGCATGAAAACAGCCATTGACAGTGTGCAATGCAAATAAGTGAGTGTGGCTGTGTTCCAATAACACTTGATTATTTACAAAACAGATGCAGGATGGATTTGACCCGTAGGGTATAGTTTGCTCACCCCTGCCCTGTATCATCAGGGAGTCAGAATTCTGTAGTCAGAAAACCTGAAATGCTTCCCAGATTAACAATAGTCAAGAGAGGTTGACTAGAAAACAATCATGATCCTTTTTTAAAAAAAAAATTTAATTCCAGTATAATTAATATAGTGTTCTGTTAGTTTCACATGTACAATATGGTGATTCAACTTTTTTTTTAACAATATTTTTAAAGATGAGATTTTCCTCTTAAGTTTGTTCTTTTTGTCTAATTATTTCCTTTCTGTTGGCCTTTAGTTGTGTAGATTAAATTTTAGTCACAAGAGGGAGCACAGTATTATATATATTGCCTGATTTTATTGGGAAATACCTTGACAAGTGAAATAACTTGTTTTAAATAAATTGAAGAGTGAATTTGCTTTATATTCCATTTAAGATATGTTTTAACAAGATATGAATTGTCTGCTGCCACAGGTAAAGTCAGATTGCAGGTGTAACTTTTTGAGGGATTCAGTTTTTATTTTCTTTTTCCACACCAAATTTAAGTAAAGACTTGGGTCCCTCCTTCTCTTGCCGTCCTCCAGCTTTACCTAAGTTGCCTGAAGGGGCCTGGCTTTTGCAGCTGTGATGTCTGAAGTTTTCCTCTTTTCACTAAATTATTTAGTAGAAAGAGAATATTATATTGTCTGTTGGTGTCTTAAAATGATATATTGATAGTAGTGGAATATATTTTGCCTACATTTAGGAATAGTTCCATTAATGTAAATCTTCTGGGATTGTGTAAGTGTTCTCCTTTTCTAAATTTGTTGTAGCCTATCTGCCCTAAGTTGTCAAATATTCACATCATGAAGAATTTAAGTTGCTTCATTAAGGTTTTCTGAAAGTCATCTTACTACCTTAGTCATGCTGTTAACAAACAAACTCAGTACTCAGGCTGCTTTATTTCAGCCAGCTTCTTTGTATTTTTGATAATGAATCAATTTTGGGTGCTAGTTTATTATTTTTTTTAAAGATTTTATTTATTTGACAGAGACATAGCAAGAGGGGGAACATAAGCAGGGGGAGTGGGAGAGGGAGAAGCAGGCTCCCTGCGGAGCGGGGACCCAGATGCGGGGCTCGATCCCAGGACTCTGGGATCACGACCCGAGCTGAAGGCAGACACTTAACGACTGAGCCACCCAGGTGCCTCTGGGTGCTAGTTTAAATTGTTTTATGATTCAACTGATTATAATTATTTTGATGTTATAACATTGATTCTAGACAGGAGTTGATAAAAGGTAGTTTGGATTATGTTCCTGTCTGAATGGATTTAGTATTAGAAATGTCACTGGGGAATTATTGCAAGATAATCTTTCATGCAGGGAGACTGATAAGAATTAGAACTCCAAGAATACATATGGTGATGCTCCATTGTATTTGCAGTCAAATGCTCTACCACTGAGCTATACCCCCTCCATTGTATTTGGATTTAACTAGATGTCATAATTTGAACCTTTTCCAATGTTCATTTTATTTTATTTATTTTATTTTACCTGTATTAATGGTGTGTTTTACTCCATTGTTTTTTTCCCCTTTCAGATATTTAGTGTAATGAATGATACAATGATATAAATCTCTTTGATATTTCCTTGCTGAAATATCTTGATGGTACAAATGCTCTACTGCTTCTCTACTTAAAAAAAAAAAAGTACCATTCAAGAGACGTTAACTGTAATTTCTCCTCTGTACAGCACTGATTCTTAGAATTTTTAACTTCATTAGTCCCTTCAACAGAGAAAGAAAAAAACAAAAAACCTCACTCAGTTGTTTGTATACAGATAGGTCACCAATGAGATGTTTGATTTTTATCAGTTGTATTAAACACATTTTTATTTTAAACTAGCAACAAAAACAGTAACATTGTCCTATTGTAAAACCAGTGATATTTTCAGAAAATAGTCTGTAGATTCTGTGAAAGACCATTATTGCCAGTTAATGATAGCTCATGTTTGAACCTTGACAAATTGTGATTGCTGGCCAGTAGAAAAGAAGAGGCCAGGAAAAGTTGACCTCTTGATCTGCTTTTAATTTGAATTCTAAAAAATGAAGATATGATAGTTTTTCAGAGTGTATTCACCTATGTATGATTGATTCTTTTTCGCTCATTATGATATAAATATATCTATACATACATATAGATATGATCTATTGCAGGATGTCAGTTGATATAAAATTTCAATTCAGAATGTAGTTTAATAGGTTCTGTTTATTTATTTATTTATTTTTAAAGATTTTATTTATTTATTTGACACAGAGAGAGAGACAGCTAGAGAGGGAACACAAGCAGGGGGAGTGGGAGAGGGAGAAGCAGGCTTCTGGCTGAGCAGGGAGCCCGATGCGGGACTCGATCACAGGACCCTGGGATCATGACTTGAGCCGAAGGCAGACACCTAACGTCTGAGCCACCCAGGGGCCCCTAGTAGGTTCTGTTTAAATTTAAATAATATATTCTGTTTGAGAGCTAGACAAAAATTATCTACATTGTTTTATTAATGTGTTTTGAAAAGCAGTGTCCCCTTGCTTTGTTTTGTTTCCAGTATAATCTGGAAAGCAGTATACTTGGAGTGCTGAAATACTGGAATTTTATATTTGCTTATATCCATTCAGTTTATTCATTTTTCTTTATGCCATCATTTTTCATATTGTTTAGTACCACTATCTTGCGATTATAGAAACAGCTCTGTTAAAGTTTCTTTATAGAAAATATAATTTAAAAAAATAGAAAATTATAATTAATTACATGAATTCAGTTTCAGAAGTAACATAAGAACTTTATATTTGACTTTTCACTTTTATTGGTGTTTTGTCCCTGTGTAGTAAAGCTTTATGGTGATCAAAATAATAACAGATATTTTAAAGCAACTCAGAATCCAAATCTTAGTCTTTTTCTTATTTAATGCTACTATTTCTGCTTGCTGTTTTTCTTATTCACAGTCCTAATTATTAATCTGATCCCTTAAAACTATAACTGTATCCTAACAAGTTAGTATTTAGCTATTCTTTTTAAATTTCAATTTGTTTTTTGCATGTTGGGGATTAAAAATTCCTCTCCCCTAACTAAAGCTCCTTTGAAATTATTTTAACATAACTTTGCTCTCTGTTGTATGTATTGTTTTCTTTTCTTCCACTTTGACTACAAATTCCCTCAGGTCTCCGCTGGTTCATCCTCCAAGCCATGGATGCCGCTCGACTCACAACAGCCCAATTCACACTGCTACTGGCTCACGACTTACTCAGAACTTCTCTGTGTCTGTTCCCACTCTCATCTATACTGGTACGAGACTGCTCAGACTCAAGAGTTGGGGAAGGCAGGCCACAGGCAGAGTGGCTGCAAAGAGCAGGCAGGCAGGTGGTGTAGTGTAGGCAGGTACCACAAGTCTTTGCTTCCTCCTTTTCTTACTTGAAGTCCAGCTGCAGTGAAGAAATCCAGTATATAGCCTCCACAGAGGCTCTAACTACTTTGAAGTGAAAGTGTTCTTCTAGCTTCCAAAGTCTCTTCCATAGATCCTGTAAGACCCCTATCTTATGTATGCATCCTGTAAGTTTTTAGGAGTATCCTCCAGTATGTGTTTTATTCACCATTATTTCTGCATTTGGTTAGAAATAAAATTGATGATTGGATTCTAAACGAAATAGCTGTCAAAGCTTCTGATTTGCTTATTTTATTATGTACAAAACCTTTTACATAGTAGGGTCCAGTTTATTCTATGGAAGAGAGCTATTGGAAAACAGGTAAGCAACTCTTCTGCATAAAATGCAATGGTTCTGTGTAGCTATATTCATTTTTCTCTCTGCTGTGTTTTTAGCTGTGGCACTCTTGATGCTATAGGATAAGGAAACATTTTTCTTTTGAAGATATCTGTGTGTGCAAATATAAAAACTATTGCGAATATTTGCACACACCATTTGCAGCATCATTTTTTCTTTTGTAACTTAAAAAAGCATTGTTTATTTGGAAGTATTTTCAGTCATGTATTTATTTTATTTTTCCTTTTAATATTTTTTACCCCCTTAGTCTGTCATTTCATGCTTCTTTGCTTTTTTACTTGGCTTATTAACTGTTTAAGTGCAGATAATTATTTATCTGGAGAATGATGAATGGTTGAACAGCAATTGGTTGTCTTTAGCCTCATACCCAGCTCCACACTTAAGAAATGACTGCTGGCCCTGCCCAATACTTTCCTGGTGTTTGGATCATGCTGCCTTCCGTCAGGTCCTTTGGCACATGATTGCTTAATATTTCTCCACCTTCTTCTGGCAGGATTCCCTTCAATGAAGATCCCAATCCCAATACTCACTCATCAGGACCCTCAACCCCTCTGAAAAACCAAACTTATTCCTTTTCACCTTCCAAGTCCTACAGTCGACAGTCCTCTTCTTCTGACACAGATTTGAGTTTGACACCCAAAACTGGTAAGGCGCTTCCACCCACCTTTTTCTTTTTCTTTCTTTCTTTTTTTTTTTTTTTCAAATTTGTTTCTGTTCTTTATTAGCTTTCCATCCAAGGCTTTCCTCCTGTTTTTGGCATTTAAGTTAAAAGATTATGTGAATACTGATCATTTTCAGTTACTATCATTAAAATATGAAAATTTCATATAGCTCAGAAATGATCTTGTTCAAAGATCTGCATATGTTGATTTAATCATAGTGTAGATATGAAGTCCAGAATTTATTTTTGCATGTAGACATTTTTCATTTCATGCTCATATTATGAGGAATAACATCTTAAAGCTTTTGAAAAGAAAGTAACATTAGTAGCTTGCAATCCAATTCCTCATGCAGTAGAAACATTTTCGATTTCATTTTTCTGTCTATTTCTGAATTTAATTCTAAGATTTTATTATGAAAAAATTTTTAGAACAATTGAAATGGTTATATTGGAGTACATATATCTATTTATTAACTTCTTGCTATTTAAAATGTTTGGTTTTGCTAGTCTTGCTCTCTAGGTTAGAAAATAGCATTTTTGCTTTACTTATTCTTACATATTTCTCAATGTATGCAATTTATAATTTTTCCCTCTCCTATTTGTATTTTGATGAATAATTTCTGTGAGTTTTTATGAATGTTTTATGATAAAAATTGTTTAAAAAGTCAAATTATTTCATTACTTCTTAAAGTAGAATTAACTTATTCAAACCATTAAGAAAAGTGAAATGTAAAAAGTTAAAAAGTTAGTAGTTAGCAATTTTTGTAAATATTGTTTTTTTCTGGCAGTTTTCTCTCCAGATTGATGAAAACATTTTGCATTGTTCCTGTTCATTTTTATCATCTTTAATAACCTTTTGTGTGTTAGCAAGAAATTTATAAAATGATCCCAGATTTTATGAAAACAATGAAAAGAAATCTAATTTGAAAACCAGTGCTAATTCTAAAGTAAAGAAAGGGCATTAAAAAGAAAGCCTGTAGATTTAGTATCTATTTTTATAAATGCAGTCACAAAATGTGAGGAAGATAATTATGAATACCTAATTATTTGAAAAGAATAGCTTTATTCTTTATTACATATACATAATATGAGTAACATCTAAAATCATGAGATTTTTTTTAAAAGATGTATTTATTTTAGAGAGAGTGAGCGAGTGAGCATGTGCACATACTCGCGGGGATGGGGCTGCAGGGAGAGCAGAGAGAGAATCCCAAGCAGACTCCCCGCTGAGCAAGGAGCCCCATGTAGGGCCAATCCCATGACTGTAAGATCATGTCCTGAGCCGAAATCAAGACTTGGACACTCAACCAACTAAGCCATCCAGGCACTCCAAATCATGAGATATTTGATAGTAATTGATACACGGAATGTGGCATCTTAACCATATTTATGCCATAAAAACTGAACCATTCAAATGATAGTGAAGTGTTGTTGTTTTTTTTTTAATAAAGAATGAGATTCTGGCCTTCAAATTCATGCCTAACAAAACAAGAAAGACTTAGGATAGTATTTGAAGAATGAGTTTTCTTAAAAATATTTTTTCAGGCTTTGACCACTGGTTACTTGTGTATTCCAGGCTACTTTTCGATATTTTTATCTTTATTTTATTCTTTGCCATAACCACAGACAAATTTTTGGAAGTCTTTTCTTGGTCTTTCTGTTTTCTTTTCTTTAATTCACCAAAAAGGCCAAGTCTAAAAAAAGATTGTCAAGTAATAAGTTAACTGAATCAGATTTGTCTTCCCTTAGCTTTCTTGTAGGCAGTCAATTATATTATCAATTAAAACAGTTTTGCATTTTATGTTCTAGTTCCAAAATTTTAGTTTTTAAACATTCATTTATAAGTTACTATTCTCATGTATTTCTGTATTTATCAGATGCCTTTAGATAATTTTGTTTTTCTACTATCATATGCTACTCACTATCTTTAATAGCATATTTATAGAACATAAACAGTATTTTCGCTTATCATGAATCCCTAAATATCTTTAAATATTCCTGAGGACCATTCCAGAAGAGATCTGAAATGGCAAAATTATGATTGTTTTAAAATTTCTAAAACTATAACTGAGTGTGTATTTCATAATTCTCTGCTTTCAAATTTACCTATATACCAAATCAGTCTCTTGAGAAATAGCGGGGATAAGCTGATTATGATTGATTGATTATATGTAAACTGGGGAACCAAAAATAGAATAAAGTTAATAAAGCTTTAGACTGAGAAAGTTGGGTTTCTATTTGTAGTTAAAGCTATTGTCTTTTTTTTAGATAGGTCTCATTTAAAAAATTCATACTGATTCATTTCTATAGATTCTAATTTTTGACATTTTACAAGGTTTCATTTTCATATTTTTTTCCAAGTACTCAACTAGTAGGAGTGGAATTTTAGAATGCTAGTTTTAGGGTATTGATTTGACACCTGACTCAAGCTAATTTTTGCTTTAAAAAAAAAAAAGAAAGCTTTTAACCATGTATAATTTTTGTGATTTGAGAGTACTTGCCCCTTACATACTCAGATCTTTGTAAATGTGAACAGTGTTATGATCAAACCTGAATATTTAAAATTTTAGAGGAAAAAGAAAAGTAGTAATATACATCTCAAAGATGAACAGAAAGAAGTTAGTATTTATTTCAAATTAATGATGGCAACTGTTTAATATGGTGCTTTTTTTTATGGGTATACAGTTAAAATACTCATAAGTGATATGTTTTAGTAACGTTTGAAGAACTGTACTTTGCCACTTTAAATAATGTTTATATTTGAGGCAATAAGTTTCTGGCTTTAAAAATTTATAAAATTTACATTTTAACTTTATACGTTCTTAAGCAAAAAAAGGCAGGTAATTTAAGTGTTTTTGAGAAATCAGCTCCAAGTGATTAGAATGGCATAAAATCCCATGTTAGTGATTTAAAAAATTTTAATAAATGCAAAGTTTATAAAGGTTTTCCTAGGTTTTAGACTGTTCCTTTAATTTATATTGTGTTGGGTAGAGGGTCTTGCTAATGACTTCATATGCTTAGTGTAATTTATGTAGCATTTTAAATTCCATTTTTACTGTTATGTTTTGCATCATCATTGCTTTCCTTATTCTGCATTTTCTGGTCATCTTCTGAATCTGCATCTTTTCTCTGCTACTTTCCTCCACAGCACCTTACTCACAGGGGCCTAGGATTTACCTGTGTCCCAGCTCCCCCTCTCTCTCTTGTGGTTCCCTTCATCTTAAAAAGTCCTGTCTCCTCCTCTCGGAATCTAGCCTTCCCCCTCATCATTCTAGCCCTGTCAGCCCAGTTCTGAGGAAAAGTGTTTCTTTCAGTGAAGAGCTGTTCCTGGCTGCTTCTGGTAGGATCACATTATGTCAGCTTTTTAATCCCTTTATTTTAAATCACCTTTGAAAACAAGTAATTATTTCATACTATAAAGAAGTGTTGGGTGTCTTACACAGGGCGTACTTCTTGTTTTTCTTACTGGTGCACAGAATTAAATAATTATGATGATCGTGAGGACATGGTTGAAGATTACTTGATGGATAATTATGAATATTCTGCTGAAATTATTTTATTTATTAAAAAATTATATGTCTGAGGACATAGATCTGCATATTTCCAGTGATTGTTGGGTTCTCATTACTAGAGTTTCTGTTTTAGATGCCTTACTTTCTTTCCCTTCACACCAACTCCATTCGTATCAGACCTGCACCATCATGTTGCTAAGCCATATGGTTACATTAGTAAATTATTCTGTTTGAATCAGTTTAAGTCTCATTTTGGTGGTATTCTTTCTTTATCCATTTTTTTTTCTGTCCATTGCATTAATTTTCAAGTTATTCTGCTGTATTTTCTGATGTTTTATTTATCTCTACAATTACATTTTATTTTATGGCTTTCAATATGCTTCATATAAAGATCTTAGTTTCATTTCAGTGTTTAGTATTGTATAGTCTCTAAAAAACATATTTAGGTTACTACAAGAAAAATATGTTCCTTTTTTATTTTTAAAGAACAGAATGGGACTATACACATGCTAACCTTTGTTTCCTTATCCAAGAACAGCTAAAAATGTAAAAGTAAATTAGTTCCTTTTTTAAGTCATTGCAGTAAATCTGACTGTGTGTATCTTCCGTTTTGAAAGGGTGGGACTGAACTGTTAACTCTAACCTGTAGGGCCCGTAGCACCAGAGAGCACTGGCTTCTCACCTGTCCCCTGCTGTCTGTAATTCTCTGATCGCAATTGGTCTATTGGTACTATCAAAAGAATAAAATAAAGTAGGGAAAGAAATTAAAAATGAAGCCTTTAAAAAATACATCTAAGAGCTTGGGAAATATAATTCTTTTCATCCATAACTATGTACATTTGTGATGTGTCTATTATATGTCTGTGATTTTTAGTTTTTAAAAATATTTTATGTTGATTTTTTCCAGTGAGTATTGAAAACTATGAATGTTAATAGTGTTTTGTCATGGATGATATATTTAGGAATGAGAAGTTATCAGAAAATAGATTTGACTATATTTCAAAATTGCCTAAAATTCATGCTCTTTAGAGAATTTTGGAATATTTTAAGTAAGCACAATTAAAAGTGCTTCTCCTCTCTATAGTTCCTTTTAAACAAGCATTTGATGTTTCTTGGTTTCTTTTAGTATTCTTAAATTGTTAGCATAGTAAGTACAGTTGACCCTTGAGCAACACACCCCTGCACAGGTTGAAAATGTGCATGTAACTTCTGATTCCCCAAAAGCTTAACTATTAATAGCCTACTCTTGACCACAAGCCTTACTGATAACACAGTCAATTAACACATATTTTGTTACATGTATTATATATTGTATTTTTGCAATGAAGTAAGCTAGAGGAAAGAAAATGTTACTAAGAAAATCATAAGGAAAAGAAAGTACATTCACAGTACTGTACTGTATTGAAAAAAATTCATGTATAAGTGGACTGTGCAGTTGAAACCCATGTTGTTCAAGGGTCAATTGTAATTGGTAGTATCTTGATTATTTTGTATTAGAAGACTCAACTTTTAAAAATTGAATATTATACAAAAATTCATTACATTAACAATTTAAAAAATAAGTTTTAGAACAGATTGAGTCTAAACAAATAAGTTTAAAACTGTGATCAGTACAGTTTCGACATCTTGCTTCTAAAGAAAACTTTGTGAATAAAATAGAGTAAGATATGTGCTTAATTGCATGTCAAATACTTTAAATGTTTGGATCATTTTAAGATTTTGACTCATGATATTTATGAAGATGAATGCAGTTAAACTTTGTTTCTATAGTTGTTTTTTGGTTGTTATTTATGTACTGATGTTCTGTAGGAATGGGAAGTGGTAGTGCTGGAAAAGAAGGGGGGCCATTTAAAGCTCTTTTAAGACAACAGACTCAGTCAGCACTGGAACAAAGGGTAAGAGACATTCAACATTCTTTATTCTTTCACTGTTAATATGCTTTTACTATCATGCTTCCATGTATTTATAACTTATTTCCATAAACTAGTTTTGATCATGTATCTGTAATGTAGTTTCAGAGTCCAAAATTTATTTAAGGTATCAAAGAAATTTGTTTATGAATAATTAATTTTAATTTGGAATAATTCTGTAACTTTTTTGTTTTGTTCTCCAGTTTTTTATTAGAAATAGTCTATTTGGAAATATCCACTGAATGATGAAATCATTTCTCATCTTACCTTAAAATTATAATATATAGAAGGAAATAGTAGACTTTTTCCAGAAAAAAATATTTTAGTTAATTCTTGGGGTGCTTGGGTGGCTCAGTTGGTTAAGCATCAGACTCTTGATTTCAGCTCAGGCCTTAATCTCAGGGTTGTGAGATCAGGCCCGTGTTGGGCTCCGTGCTGGGCATGGAGACTATATTAAAAAAGAGAAAAGAAAAGAAAAGGTAATTCTTTAGTGTATTAATATATTTATATGCTGAGATTAGTTTTATGGCTGGCCAATCTCTTAGGGGTAAGAAATGCACAGATTCAGTATTTCTACAGATTAACATAAACAATGTGGTTATTTGGTATGTGAATACATCTCTTTTAATTATTATAAGTTTAATGTTTAGTTACCTATGTTAAATGGGAAAATAGTCAAAATTTTTAGATGATTTTTCTCTTTTTATTTTTTATTTTTTTGTATAAACTTCATTGCTAAGGGAGGATCGCCTCATAGGTTCTGTAGAAGGCGGGTATGTTTCTGAACATGTGTGAGAGCCTTTTTCTTGTATTGGTAGCTGTTCTAGTTTTAATCTTGATCATTTAAGTTTTATTTAAGCTTTAACAAATGTTGCCAGCTTTATTTCTTTTCGTAATGCAATTTTTAAAAATTTATTAGCATTATGAGGCTCATTTTTTTTTCTACTTAACGAATACAGTGCATGATTATTTATATGTTATGTCAGTTATTTTAAGGCACAGTTCCATAGCTTTCATTGTGTCTGATTTGCAAGTTTATAAGCATCTACAGAATTTTCTTTTACATGTTCCATTTTATACTAGCATTAAAAAAAAAAAGATGAAACGGTAAATACCTATAAAAGAATGCATTTTATAAAAAAAGGTATTTCTTTTCTAGAGGTTAGCTTTTGAGAATAGTGTGTTTACAGATTCTGTGACTACAAACAATGTAACAGTTTACTTTTTTTAGACTTTCTTTCCTGTGCAGAAAGTATCTGTATGCACTGTTTGCCTTTTAGACAAGGTTGTGGGGAGCAGAGCTGAGCTGAGCTGAGCTAAGCAGAGTGATGAGACTTTAGCGACACACAGTTGTTTGCCTTATCCCTTACCAGGCAGCAGTTGGGCTTGAGCTACTTTCACACCTTGCAGGCATACCAGCTACTGTCATGCAAAAGCCCACTTAAACATTGGGACCATTTATTAAAACCAAATAGAGAAAGAGACTGAAAACACAGAGAAGAGGGTCAGGGTGAAGGTATGCCTGTTCACTTACCTTTTTTTAGGCCAGAATACTCTTACCTCCTCCCCGCTCCCAGTTTTACATTCTCTGTAGAGTTCCTTACATTAGGAGTATTTCCTTGTAATTGTCATTCTACAGTTCACAGGAACAGAAAACTGATATGAGATATGAGATTTTGCCTGTATCTTGTGCCTGTGACTTCATTATCTATATTAAGAACTTCTGAAAACATCTAGCTTCAAAAGAAGAAAAAAACTAATCAATAAAAATTGTTTTAGATTTAGTTTGGATAAAATTTATGTTTTCAAATATGCTTTTAAACATTCTTAAAGTTTTGGACACATCACATTGGGCATACATTACTAGATAATCTTTATGGAATTAATGGTAAAGATGTGGGAGAACTATAGTTTTCATTTACAACCTTGTAAAATCTGAGTTGGCAATATATTTATGTTACCTAACCCTGAGTAGTTACTTGACTTTGTGAGACTACCTCTCTGTCCTGGGTACACAATAAATAGAACAAACATCATTTTTAGCTTTCCCATTAACCTGTGGTTGCCATTAGTATGTCTTTGTTTTGGGGAAAAAATTTGTTTAGAAGTATGAAGAATTCTCTTCACATGTGTTCAGATAGGCCTTAACTCTGCTAAGTCGAATACTAGGTCAAGGTGAACAAATGATATACTTAATACCATTTTTATATTCATTTTTTAAAGATACTCATTTCTGCCCCTTGCCACCCTTCATAAAATGTATGGCTTTTTTTTTTTTCTTGAGGAAAAGAGAACCTTTGTCCAGCATCTTTTATTTAATGGGTTCAAGTAGCAGTTCTCAAAAATAAAAGTGTTATTTTTTTCTTTCACAAAATCCGTGAAAAATAAATTGACATGATCTTGGTAATAGGTGTCAGATGATTAGGAGATAAGATGTAGAGATAAATATTTGATTAGATTTAGGTTCCACCTATGAACTATTTGATGTAAAGCAAATAGATTTATTTTTCAATATGACTCTTCTTTCACTTGTAAGAAAAATGAAGTTACTTTTCAGATGCTGGGATTTTTTTCTTCAATAAAGAAACCTAGTTGACTTGGTTTAACCTAGTATTTCCCAAATATATTTTAAAATGGAATCTTCCATGTGAAATACCTGTTAGTGACGACCACATTTTGGGAAACATTTATATAAAGCAAACTCTTTTGATAATTATTAATAGTGGGGTCAAATTATACAATAAATCATAGTAGGAATCTGGCACGGAGTTTTCTTATGTAGAAAGTTGACTCGTTTCTTGGGATAATAAAAAGAATATTTGATTGAAAAAATAAACTATTTAAATATATTCTGAGAAAAATTCTATTTAAATGTTAAAAAATTACTCCCGTTATGTCCCCAGATTTTCCAACTAGCCTGTCTTTGAACACATGGTATTAAATAGATTTATGCTGCATGCACTTGGCTTATTGTCAGAATGTCAACATACGAATTCTTACCTAGTGGTACCACAAGGCAAGGCACTTTAAATATTATGACTTTGCAGAGAAAATGGCTTCTCTGGTCCCTGAAATTCTCATCTAGGCATTGGAAATGGATTGGGCTTGGCTGATCTTAAGGAAGCTGTTCTTTTCAATGGAAGAGAACCTATAAAGTCATCAGGTATAATGATAGAGTAGAGATTAAAACCAACTCCTTGTCTGTTTTAATCAGATATTTCAAGAAGCCAGATGATAAAGTTTGTTGCTCACATAGAGTCTAGGCCCTCTTGACTCTCACGTTAGGGTATGGGAAAGATTATAAAGCATAGTTTTAAGATACTGTGCAGAGGTCTGGCACTCTGTAAGCACTTCATAGTAGTCACTATGTGATGGGGGTGGAGATGAGGGGTATTTAACAGTCACTGGTAGTCACTGGTGTCACTGGTGATGGGGGTGGAGATGATAGATATTTTAGCGGTAGGTATCAGCCATAGTTCTTCTGAGAGAGTTATTTGAAGATGTAGTTTTGGTTGAATAACCATACCATTTTTATGTACTCCAGGTTAAATTTTGTGTGTTAAAGTAGGTGTGCTGATTGGACATATAGGACAGAGTTTAAGTTGGCAGAGTGGTCGTCCGCCTCTTTGGGCAGCCATTCCCCTACTTTTTCTGCTTATGACCACCAACTCTAGTGTGATGCTTTCCCTGTTGTCCCTTTATCCCATCTTCTGGAATTTGGGGAGAAGAGTCCGAATCTCAAGCAGAGAAGTCATTTAGGTTAATTTTTATACCTAAATTCTTATATGCAGATGTTTTCCAATATGTGAATTTACATAACTTATTTCTCAGTTTCAGAAGGAAGTACAGCTTTCCATTTAGCTTATAAAAATATTATTTTCAGTGTCTCTTGTCCAGGATATTTAAAATGTTTAAGTATAAAGATTAAATGTAAAGTACTTTTTTCTAATATGCTTCAGTATTTTGAGGAAATTTAAAAACTGTGTACTTAAAATTGAAAAAAAATCATAAAGGCCTAACTTAGATAAGATATTTAAGTTTCAAATAGCATAAGCTTATTTGTATATATCTCATTTAAAACTTATATTTAAAAAATTCAGGTGGAAATGAGGCATTTTGACTAAACATTTTATAATTCATGTAAGTGAGATTCCCCTCCTATCCTCTCCCTTTTTTCTTTTTGCCTGTCAGCTGGGCCAAACCTGTCTATTTCCATAGATTGGTTTTTACTTTTTTTTTTTTTAATGTAGCCCAGGTTTTTCTTACCCTTGTTAATTTAAATATTACTTTTAAATTCTAACTGAATTTATTTCTAAATTCTCTCTATATTTTAAACTATATCTTCATGGGTTATTGAAGTGTGCAAGACTGTTTGCCTTTGTGCTAAATGACTCCAAGTTGCTATGCTTTGTGAATTATGCTTTGGTGAATTTGTATTCTTCATGCTTTAAGCAGCCAGTCAGTAATCTTGCTGCTTTTAATGTGCCTGCTTCTAGTAGTATTCTGTATGTTTTTATCTCTCAGCTTTTGTTTGCTGCATTTAAACTGCTATGTCCAGAAAAAAAGATACTGCTAGACTTTAAAATACGTTCCTAAAATTATATGTTTATAATTGCTGTATGGCATAGTATGGATATGATCTATAGGGATTTCTTATGAATCAGGTACATAAATTTTAGTACTTGGAAGTATAACAGTTCTTTTGACTATTGAGAGCTCTGTTTTGCTTATTTTCCAGCTCTCAGTTATGTTCTGAATAGCTGAGGCTACTGGCAAATGACTTCTGGTTAAGTGAGCTACATTAATCGTATAGCCAGATGAGGCAGATATTAAATTTCCCTTGCTTGTATCCAATTTTGTGTAATGTGAGAGGCCTCTGTATTTGGAGAGTCACAAGAGCTCCCCTTTCTTCCTGGATGCTATTTCAATGAATTTCCTTTCTCTGTTTTCCCATTTCCCTCTTACCTCTAGATTGATGAGATTGATGTCCTTGAGAGAGAAGGGGAGAATGAAACTTGGAAGAACTTGTGGAATTTTATTTCCTCCCTTGCTGTCATCTACATTCTTCTCCCTTTTCCTTAATATGATGCATTTATGTACTTAAAATTTTCTCCAGCTGACCTGGTGTTGATAGAGTAGATAATCTTACACAGCGTTTCTCTACCCACTTCAGCTTGGTATTGCCCTTTGCTTTTCCCTGAATCTGTTAACCCACACTGTTCATTGTCCCACTCCTCCCTCAGTCCCACATTCTTGTAGATCTCTTGCACCAGGCCTTCAGTCTTTACCAGTAGCCTGGAATTGGGTGTGTGTATGTGAGGAGGATTCTGCCCCACTGAGAAGTAGACTCAGAGTAGAAGGGCAGGGAGTCCCCACATCTCACTGTGAATTTGCATCAGAGTAGGAGATTGAGAGGAAGGAAGAGTGTGTTCAAAGATCTTAAATCGAAACTCTGAGAACCTTTTTTTCTCATTGAGAATTGATAAAAAGAGTGTTTGGATTCTGTATAACATGATGTATATGGGAAAATGGATTAGGAACTCTAAGCATCTAAGAAAACATTTAATTACAAAGCAAGTGTAATGTATAACTGGTAGCCTTTTGTTAAGGGATAGGATTCATATCTCATAGTATGAATATAATCTATTCGGATCAGGCTTTTTAACAAGCAAATTTTTTATACTTTGCACATGATCAGTTATATTTTTCCCCCTTTATTTTTACTAGGAATTTCCATTTTTTACCTTGACGGCATTTCCTCCTGGATTTCTCGTGCATGTTGGGGGTGTTGTTAGTGCACGCTCTGTGAAGCTTTTGGATCGTATCCACAATCCTGGTATGTTCTTTAAAAGTTTGTTTTCAGTGTTTCACTTACTTAAACTGCGGTTATTAAGATTGATTTTTATAATTAAAAAAAATCAAATCTATCCAAAAAGAGAAATGAAAAAGAAAGTATAAACTGGCATGTTGCTTTAAGTATTTGCAGTAATCCTAATTAAAAATGATCAAATAAGTAGAAGTATTATTTTAGTTAGGTTTTTATATAAAACAAACAAATCTTGATTCATTTTTTTGGCCAAGGCATCACTTTGAAGGAATTCTTAGGTAACTTTTCAGTCAGCTCTTTTCTTTGATCTAGGCAGATAACAAATTTCGCAATTAGACCATTGTGGCCATTATCTTAAGACGGTAATTCTTTTCACTAGCAATAACTCTTTGTAGATTATTTTAGTAATTTTCTTATTCCTAAAAGAAGTATTCCTTTGAAATGTAATCATAAACATTGTGTAGTGTCTAAGAATTAAAAAAAAAAATAGTGCTGTCTGTGCATTCTCGGTTTCTTTTCTGAAGCTGTTTGTTCTATATAAGTGAACAATGAACAAGTAAGAATAGTAGCTCACTTCTTTAAAACATGGGGCCATGATCGTAAAAGAAGAAAGGCATCAAATCAATCCCAATATCGGGCCCTTGGATTAGGAATGTTTGATGGTTTTTCTAAATCCAAAATAAGCATGGCAAGTGTGGTAGAAACTTTCCATATGGTGTGTGTTCTTGCATCTCTCATTGACTGGATTCCCAGTAATTTGCTCAATTTTTTCCTACTATTCTGCACCTAAAACTGATCTACTAATTTGCTGTTTTGATGACATACTAAAAAAGCTGAAGTTATGTTAGTATTCTTATTTGGCATATATACCTACATATTGTTGAAAATTTTAAATTTTCACTTTCAATAACCTCTTCCTGAGGCTTGTACTGACAGCTACAAAAAGAGTAAAACACTTTGAAATTATTTTATGCAAAACATTGCAGATAGTGATTTTGAGGTTACAGAGCATTACCATTCTTTTAAGTTAAAAAAAATTTTAATCCGTGCCTTGCGGTTTGATGTCTTTTCAGTTAATAATTCCAGAGAAGCAGAATGGAATTTTTCCCAGAGCTTGAATGAGATTTCAGAAGAGGAATAGTAGCTAGGATTATCTAACTCTTAGAGCTGAACAAATATATCTTTTAAGCATTAGTCTTCTCTTTTTCTTCTCTGGTTTATTATTTTCTTCTGCTGTCCTTATTTTTTCTAATCAATTTAAGATCTTTTCTTCATGTATTATTTGTATATTCTGTAGTAATTAAAGGCATATTTAGACTCATGCCAGTTTAATGTATTGAGACATTGGAGACCCTTCAAGTTCCATATCTTTGTGTTTAGGAACTTGAATTATTTGGAAAGTGCAAGGAAATACTGAGTTTTAATATACCTGACATTAACTGTGTGACCCAAGGCTTGTTACCTGCGTTTCTTTGGACCATTGACTCAAATATTTTGATAGATGGTGCCTACTGATAAGCTCCAAAAATGGTTTCAGGAATAAATTTAACTGTTGGTGATGTCTTCTATTTACTGAAAACATTTTGATTTTATTGTTGCTTCCATGTACTCTGAGTAAGCTATAGAGTCTGGGAGAACAAACAAAGGTTACTTAAATAAGTTTAAGTAGAGAGCTGTATTTAAAATCCTATTACTTTTTACAAGAAACCCTTTTTTGGGGTTTATCATACTTGCCAGTTTGTTCTAGTGGTGTGATAAATGTAAGAATCCAGGCCCAGGGAAGAATACCGGAATCTTTATTACAGAATACATTTTGTGTATTGTAATTATCAGCTTATCCATTCTCTTCTTTTCCTCCCCTTTCAGAATATTTTTTTCAATTCACATGTAGGAATTCTCAGTTACTAATGTACTTATTTCCCAAAAGATTATGGGCATATAAATATAAATGCTTTTAATGATATATAAGTTATATTTTAATTTTTGTTTTATTTTCAGTTAAATACAAATCAACTATATATTCTAATGGTTTCAATATTACATTATTTTGATACAAAAATCACATTTTTTGGGTTGTTTTATATATGTATTATGCATTAAAAAAGGAAGATTTTCTTAAGAACATTTTATTGATGTTCTTAATATTTCATAAATAATTATTTATGAAAAAGATTTAATTTGTTGAAAAAAGCTGAATGTTAAAACAAAAAAAACCCTCTAGATTAGCATCTACCATGATGATGTTTTAATTTTATGACACTGAGTTACTCTGCTGAGAGAAACTTAAGATGGATTGAGATGCATGTGCTGTTAAAAATGCTGTATTTGCACTCTCAAATGACTCTTGCAGTTATTTTTTGTCTAGTGAAAATGGGAAATTTTCATTTTACACTGAGTGTAGAAGGAATAAAATCTTATTTTAAAACCACTACCACCTGCTAACTATGGATTATTATTTTGGAGTTAGTTCTTTTAGAATTTTCTCCTTTGTTAAATATTAAACAACAAGGAAAAGAATGGGGTGGTTTTAAAAATCAAAGTCATTATCTTAAACAACTAGACTTTAGTTAATGTTAGATTATGATAGCATGCTCCTTCTCTTTCTATTTCTACTTCTTATTAACTCTGCTGTCTGTGTCTTTCCAATTCCTGTCAAGTGGTATTGTCAATTGTGTTCTTGTTTGTAGTGTTTTTTTTGTTTTTTTCCTACTATTCTGCACCTAAAACTGATCTACTAATTTGCTGTTTTGAACTCAGCCTTTGTCGGAATTATGGGTAACACAAGATCTTACAAACTGCTAGACTGGAATAGTTTCAATTCAGGTATTTTGATGGTCATTCAGTACTACATATGCTGACAAAAATTATGGCAGCTCAGTGAAGTTTTTAGAAATGTTCTAGATTAAATAGGTTTAATGTCAATTCAGTTATACAGATACATTCTGCAGTACATATGTTATAACTCTTATAGTTTCCATGGAAATGCAAATATAAAAATGTGTTAACTAAAATGAATTAACCAAAACCATAGAAATACCATAAATTACAAATGGCTTTTGTTAGGTGATTAACTTTCAAAAACCTTAATTTAAATTATATTTATTACATTTTTGACAGTTTTTCATATCAGGTAAATAACATAGGCATTAGCTTTACGATTAAAGAAATATTAACTGTTAATTAAATGGCTAGTTTGATAAGCTTAAAGTATGTTTAAACGTTAATTTAGATTTGAATATAATATATTTAGTATTCTATAAGTACTATAAAATTGTAACTATTACCATTTTTATTTATAATTCCAGAAGTGTTTCAAAATTTGGTAAGTAAGAGCAGATTTGGAGGGATTAACGGCTTTCATAAGCTCCCTTCCTTCCCCTTTCATGTGAGAATATAATTTTTCTTTTTAAGTAATTTTACATATGGATATAGTTTATAGCTTTTAGAGAAACTAAACTAAGATAACTTTACAGCTGATGATGTGGTTTAGAGTCAAAGCCAATTTTTCTTTTTGATAAAAGTATATTCTTTTAATATAAATATGTAAATTTTTGTGTTATTTTTGGAATTAAATAATAAAACCATTTTGATTCAGTAATAGAAGCTGGTATTTTGCTTGAAGGATTTTACCAGTTCTTTGTGTCAGAAAGTATATATCTATTTATAGAAAAACAAAAACACCAAGAGGCTCAGCATTTTAGATAATATCCCATAATCTTTTCAATATTGTAAACTTTTTTTGTTCTTAGGAGTCCAGGATGTAAGTTCTGATGTAAGTAATGCATGTTTGACTATGAAGTATCTCATGTTCATCATGCAGATTTACCTAAGTTCAGTCTAGTAAACAATCTGATCAGGTCCAACCTTTGCAGATTTAGACTAACTTCAATTGGTAAATCTTCAGGGAAATTAACTCTAACTCCTATCCAAGTTTTTGCCAGCATGTTATCACATTGATTAGAATTAAAATAATCATTTTTAATGTAATATGTTATACTTGGTTTTTAGTGAGAAAAATACCCTGCGGGATTCATTTAATAAAAATAGGAATATATTTTTAAGATGTAGGCAGATTAGTGTATAGGAAGTGAAAAAGCCTAATTATGTAAGAAAAGGACGTTGGGAATAGACTGATCATTAATAATTTAAGGAGCTTAAATGTTGTCAGGGCAAAGATGTTTAGGGTGAGATGTGTGTTAGATGAAAGAACAGTCTTGGAAAGTAGACAAGAAGTTAAATCTTATAGATATAATCCTTTGTCCCGCATAAGCAGAACTACAGAATTTGGCAAGGAGAAACATGGTTGAGGAAGCAGTATATCTTGCCATCATTTAAAATAAAGTCAGGTAGTGAGTGTATGAAAAAAAGGTGGATATAAGTTACAGAATATTAAAAGAATATCAAAGATGACTTTCAGTTTAATGTTCTCATCTGTGCTTTTGACTGAGATATTAGAATCTTTATGCTAACAGTACTATTCAGAGATCAGGCTGATTTTGATATTAGGTTAAGAAAAATAATGTGGTAATTCTGAAATATAAAAACGTAATATTTGAAAAATATATTCAAATCATTTATGTATTCTTCTCTGTGATTAAGGAATAAGTTAGCCATTGCTGTCCTGTATTATTACCATAGAAAATCATGAATTGGCCAGATCAGTAAGAAAAATAATTGTTGGTATAATTTTTATTAATGTTAGAAATTGTTCATCAATACTGTATTTTCTGGATTCTCTGACACCATTTATTATGTGAGGTATCACCAATTTAATAATAGCTTTCCAAGAGAAAAGAGAAAGAAACATTACCATATTTAGTGTATTGATTAATTATTAGACATTTTTATTTCAGAAACATTAAAGTGTGGAAAGATATAAGAACATGTTTTTATCACACAGTAGTATTTCATGAAATATGATCTGTCGTGCAAGCATTTATTAGAACTTATTTTATGCCATATGGTTTGCTAGATGATAGGTGTGCGAAGATGCCACCTCTGCTTTCACG